ACACGTATGTTTGTTAAAATGTCCAAATTACTCGTTTCCAGCAGTTTGTGCAGTAGGCGACGTGCCACATTAAAATAACGTTTTGCCACCAATACAGTGGCGCGCTGCAGATTGCCGTCATTTTTGTCCAGCAAATAAAGTTGACAGCAAGCTTTTAATGCTTCCTGCCAACGACAACGATAGATGCATTGCTGTATTTTTATATGGCATTCACTAATCATCCATTGAGCTGCGTGCGGATAGCGTGGAAAACGTTTGCGCGCATTATGCAACACCACAGCACTTAAGTGGTGTTCTCCTTGTATGTTCAACCAAAGTGCCAGGCTTGATAGAACCTTACAGACACTCTCCGAATTGCTCACATCACCAAATACCCAGGTTTTCTTTAAGTTGAGCAGCAACTGCGCATACATAGCAGACATTTCGTAGCGTCCATATAGACACCAAAGTGCTGAACGCAGTGCTAACGAATCGGAAACATGTTCCAAAATGTAATTTTTACTATTAAGTTCATCACTCTTCAAGAGTAGTTCGAAGAGATCCAGAGGCATGTAACCGCACTGTGCTCCAAATTTAACTACGAATTGTATGGCCAAGGAAAGAGATTGCATTAAGCCGGGATCTTGTATGTCAGGTAAACTCTTCTCGAAGGGATACATTCGATGGCTGTTTAGTAGGCAATACCAAGCATTTGCAAGATCTAAACAACGTTTATCACCACATTCCTGTGCTAACATAATACATTCACGTAGTGCACTTAAAGCTTCGCGTTTATGATCGAAGCTGGCGTGTAGGACGGCGAGATTAATGCTGAAGTACTGAAAACCCTAGAGTGCAAAAAAAATATAATATTTAATATAGAATCCAATTAAATTTAAAAAATTGTGTGTGTCCACTACGCATACCTTCTGCTCATATTGATTCGTCATTTGTAAGGGACTGCGATCGAAGGAACGATGTAGTGCATCCATAGCACCAAAGAAATCACGCAATCTCAACTGATTCATGTAGCCCAAAAAGTATGCTTTGGAGTTCAATGGATTATCTTGCACGATTTCACCCAGTTTGGTTTGCAGTTCTATGGGTGGCAAAGCGCGTAGCTCATTACTTTCCAATAGATTACACTGTTGAGTAACAAAGAGATCAGCCTGTTTGGGTGACCACTTGCTATGTGGATTGCGATCTTGATGTACAGTGTCAGTGTCTAAGGCGCACTCATCGATAGTAGCTTCAGCATTTGTAGTTTTATTATTAGAATTAGTTGTACTCTCCGCAATATTCATTTGCCCAGCAGCTTTACGTGGACCAATAGCTAAACTCCGTATTCCTAAAAATAAATTAATTACAATAATTATAAGCTTAGTATAAAACATAATTGAAAGTTAAGAAAACCTTTTTCATAATAGATGCAAATATTTTTGTAGAGTGCCATCATCTCTGGGAATGACATACGCTCCATA